TATATTCCAGCCCTGTATCAGTAGAAAGAGCAGGTTATGAACATTCTAAAAAGTTATTTTGATTACAAATCGCAGGCATACAGTGCTCAAAATGTAAAACGTTGACGATAATATTAATGTATAAAAAATTTCAAAGTTTGTTGTGGTGAAGATTCCTCAATATTCAAGTAAGAGATTTAAAATGTTTTACCTAATATCTCAACATAACATTGCTTTCAAATGCAAAATCTCAACATCCTAGCTCTTACCATTCCTGTAAAAATCAACTGTAATGCTGATAATCTTTGCAAAACGCCACAAAACAGTCCATTTGCAACTGACAGTTACAAAAGAATATCAGTATGAAATAATTTGTTAGATATATCATTAGAAAGAATTTGGTTTCCTTTGTTTCATTGTTCTTGGTTTTCCCGAGTATCCGATAGTATAACAAAACCATAGACACCTCTTACATGTCCGGAGTTTGAATAATTTTCTTTCATTTTCTGCGCTAGTTGAAAATCACTAAAATAGACGTTTAATAAAAAAAGGGATTATATGGAAAGTCATTAAAGTGAACGTTGCACAATATTCCTACGAACCGAGTTCACAAGGATGCCCCTACAAGGTGGTAAACAGAGAAACATAGTCGAGGGCGCTCAGTAAAGTGATTAAAGTCTCCATCAGACATCAGTTGTTTCACATCAAAACTGGCAGCAGGGATTTTTAATGCAGAAAGTTAATGACAGTAAGTCAGTTGTGTATTTCATTCCAGTTTATAGTAAACCGTTTTACCCAGACTTGATCGGCAGTGAAAGGTAGATATGAAGAGATGATAAGAATGTTGATGGACTTAACACGGACTTGAATTTTGGTATCGATGCCGATGACGTGGTTGGCTCGTAAAGAAATGACCCCGGTCTCATTTGCGTTGAAATTCCTGAAATTTTTGAAAATTACAAGTGATAACTGACTGTGGTGTTAATATGGACTGATATTGCGTTATTATAATATTACGAAACCGTTTGAATAATATGAGTAGTTCTTGCGATTTTTAAGAGAATTTTCTTAAGTGGAAAAAACGTATGGACCATTTTGCATTGTATACAAATACAAAGAGTGTAATTCGAGTTAAAACAGCAGATTTGTGGAATATTTCAATATAATAGTATTTATTTAATTTATTAATAGTATTTAATAATTACTGTTGTATATTTTTCGTACCATTTGCATTTTGTTGCCAACGCTATCAGAATTACTGGGTTGTGAAATGTATATGCCATAGTTGCTTTAACAACACCGCGTTGGCAACAACATGCTGTAGCGACAGGCGACGCCGCTGGGTCGTATTTCTAATTTTTTAAGGCTAAAATACACGTTCAATTATCGAATATGTTAATAAATTACCTTTAAAATAATTAGCTGTTAATCAATGTTCTACGATTTGTAATGTATTGACCTGAAAAATGATTATTGAGATGTGTTAATGTGGAGAGAAATAGTGTAATATTATTACGTAATCTTTGCCCATTGCGAGAAAGTACGTACTGTTGTAGCATCACTAGTTCATAATTTTGTTTACTCTATGTTCGTTCATAACCTTTGCTAATGAAAAACTGTTAAAGTGACTTAAAAGGCTTAATCGCATGATGGTATCACGGGCGGGCTGATATTTTTTTGATAAAATCGTACGTTTTTTCCTCCAAAAATGAATATTTTCCCATAAATCTCTCTTAAATTTAGGCCCTGCGCATTTGAAACATCTTTTAATTTTTAGGGGTACTTTATATGAAGCTCGTACTTTTTTATTCTGAAAAAGGCTCCGAATTTTATCTTTAAATTTCTTTTTTCAAATCAATGTGTTTTTATAAATCTTGTTGAAGTCCGGTTTTTATCGAAATCTCTGAATTTTAGAAAATGTTAACACGTTCAACTTTCAGTACCTCTGTTACATCTTCAATATCGAAGCAGCGTTTTTAATATCCAATTTATTTCTTTATATTATCACTGTCAATGACTTGATGTATATTTACTACAAAATATTGGTCGTTTTCGCCTTGTTTCTAAGCAAATAATGTCAATAATTTTCTAAATATGCGTTAACATGAAGTCTCGACCTATTTTTCTTTGACGTTTTTCTTAGAAATAAATAGCAATGTACAGAATCATATGGCATACGTGTTATTTCATGTAGTTCTTTGAATTTTTTAAAATTACACCGAAGTGAAATATATGACCTTCTCAGGAGTTGCTGACGTCGCAGGGAACGAGTTAATTGTTAAAAAAAAATGTTCAACGGACTTCGAAATAATAAAAACACGCTTAAGAGTTACTAAGACAAACTTAAAAGCAATGATTTTGAAGAAAAAAAAAAGATGCAACATAATTTCATTGCCAAATCGAAAGATTAAATGTACGTTGAAAATTAATTGTTACTTTTAAGGGCGATTGTTATTTTCAGATGTGGAATTTATCTTCTTTAGTTAAATTTTTAATATTTTAACTACCTATAATCAGGAATTTGATTTTTAAGAGAATTTATACTTGCTTATCAATCTTAAGCAGGCACACACTTCAGCATGGTTTGAGTCGTTATTATTGCTATGGGTAGTGTCAAAATCCGTGTTTTATATTAGAAAAGGGGTTGCATGTGCTTTATAAATGTTTCTTGGTAGCCATATGAGCAGATCCTCTTGCAGCGTGACATGAGGCGCTGAACTAGCGGGATGCTCACAAGTGGATAATGAGCTCTGGTCAGCACTCGGCCCAGTTGTAGTGTAATTCCAACAAACGCTTTTCCTTTTGCCTGTTGTTGTGTTGTGAATTTACTACTTTGTTTCACCCTCTAATTACGCTTTTACTGTGGCAGGTTTATGCTTTCGAATGAAAGAATGATCGAAATTCTATCCCCCTGTACCTATCTGTCATTTGGGGAGATGAATGTGGTATGCAGACTGTTTACGGAATTTCTTGTTAGCATCCTCGCCTGAAATCCGGATTTTTCTTGCATTTCGTTCCTTCAGAACTGGTTTCGTGAGAATTTCCTCCAAATATCTTACAAGTTCGGATTTCGGCAAAGTACAAATTACTAAAGGTTTTGGTGGCTTGGATGTACGGCGTGAAGGAATACTAAAGCATGATGTAAATGTGACTAATTTCCAGGATGTTAATATGCCTCAAACTTGTTCATGCTTTGGACTTCGTGGAAAAAAGTAGGCATGGAAAACTCGCTTACCTAGAGATAGAATAAGAACATATCAAGCAGTGTTAATGGAAACACTATCAAATGAAAACTGAATAGCTAATGGAGAATAAACTGTTCAATTTTTTTCTAATAATACTGTAGGATTGTGTTTTAATATTTATTATTAATGATTGTATGTGTTAGTATTTACAATGTGAATGTATTTATCACTTGCGTTACTGATACGTTTTGGCTTGCACAAGTGTAGTGCAAAAAATTAAAAACTGGTACTGCTCGCATCAGTGACGGTTACGTAAAAATATAATATCTCAATTTCTGTCCGTATTAACACATTTCACTCATCAGTTATAAAACTTATTACCAATCGTAGCCCATTAGGCGCGAAAATTTAATTCATTTAAAGTTAATGCATCTACACAAATCTGACAGTCTAAAACTTGTTTCATTGACCCAGAACCAACCTACAAGGAGTTTTTTTGAGAATTCCAAACAGCCGGATTGCGAATTTCCCAATGTTGTGTTGTAAAGTGCGGGCAATTCGAATGAAAATGAAAAATTTTCAAACAAATCTCTTCGAGTATATTTTTACAAATCAACGTAATTACAAATATTTAAATATCTTTTTTTTGGAGAACTAATTCAGTAAGTCTCTTGCTAACTTTCTTCTCTTGTAATGTTAATTTTTTTTTTGCTATTTTGGAAAATTTAGAGAGTTCTATGAAAATGAGATCTTCGCCATTCTTTTAAGTGTGCCCTGTTCTATCTGTAGGAATATTTAAAGAAAAAATTGGAACAGTTTTAGAGGTAAAAATGTTTAAACAGTTCTATACTTCACGCACAATTACGCGAAAACTAGTCAAATTTTTGAAATATTTAATATGACCTTATTTCAAGATTCAGTTTTGAACAACAGATTTCATTAAGGAGAGAGGCTCGTATTTTCAATATTGTGGTTGTAGGAAAACGCCGAAAAGAAAATATGAACGTTTATGAAATTTGAACACACGCCATTTTTTTTAGCGTTCTCTCTGCTATGTTGTATGAAGTATGTATGGGTCTTCATGTGATGTATCCCCCAAAATCAAAAATCCGCTTCAAACTAGCAGGGTCGTTATTTAGGAGTAAATGAACATCGTGACACCTTTAGTATTTCTTATATTTAAGTGTCAATCGCGAATCAGGTGTTAAACGGTTCTCTGTTGACTATCTCTAGATCTAAAATAATGAAAAAGGACGATGTGGACTTTTTAATTGCTCTGTAGTCGTAATTAATTGACGTTTTGAAGCACATCAGCTGCTAGGGTTATTAGTTCCGTTAATGTAGTAAATTGTATATCCTGAGAGGTGACGGTGATTCCTTCCCCATTGGGTGGTGAGATGTGATGCCGACCATACGAGCCCAACTGGTCTCCCAGCATGTTTGCTAGTGTATGTAGGTGTGTGTGTGTGTGTGTGTGTGTGTGTGTGTGTGTGTGTGTGTGTGTGTGTGTTTAAGGGGAGGGGATTCAAGGGAGGAGAAAAAGTCATGCGCGGTCCGTGTCCCGTTTGTTAGGGTTCTGCTTCAGCATTCGCCTGGTGTTGATCGGAGAAACCACTTAAAACCACCAATCAGAGCAGCCGGCCGCTAGAATTCTCCTCCGCAGCGGTTGAATTTGACGGAGCTATAGAGCTAGTGTCGAAAATCCGCCACCGTCGGGATTGAACCTTGGGATAGCTATACGATGCCTATAAAAAATAAAAATAGGACAGGACCTATTTTTTAGCATTGCTTAGTAAAGTTTATTTTTCTCATTCCATGTATTCTTCTTTGTCACAGCGCTGTATACCACCATTCGAGAACGCAGCCTTCAACGTTTTAGTTGAAGCAACAAACACTTGTGGCGAAAATGGCCCTACCCAGTACTGTGTGCAAACTGGAACGTCGGGCACACAGAAATCGTGTCAAATGTGCTACGATGCAAATACTCACCATGCAGCCTACCTCACAGATTTCAACAAAAACGAAAATCAAACGTGGTGGCAGTCGGAGACAATGTATCAAAATGTGCAATATCCTAGTCAAGTGAATCTTACTCTTCATCTCCGTAAGTATAGTTGAACAAGTATTGTTTTATCTATGTATAACTTTTGTGATTTGGTTTCATACCTTCAAACGATGTTTCCCGTTTTCCTTTGCGAACCTTGTTTTCTCCCTCTTCTTCCTTGTTAGATCTATACGTAACTGGTATTTTGATTCAGTATTTAGTAATGTATTTTGATACTTTTTGCGGGATTATTAGATTTTTAACGTCTCTTACTTGCGCAACAGCGTCCCCAAGCCCTTCTGACATTGGACGCGAGGAGTAATTCTTCTTGATCATAGTATTGAGTCAGTATTACGTCAAGTCAGTGTCATTGCCTTTTATCCCTATCAGCCAGTGGCTCAGCGCCACTAATATCCGTGGTTCCCAGACGGTCGCCCAACCGGGACGCCGCGGTGACTTGAACTACTTAATTTCCGTTACTTCACGGAGCTTAGTTAAGAAGTTCGGCAATAGACACCAGCTAAATTTTGGATTTTATTTTAATTGAGGTTTCGATGCATCTTTCTTCGCGAAAACAGCACTGTCATATTTCGTATCAGACTTTTGCGAAATTTTCTCGTTTCCCCTTCAATTCAAGTGACTTTTCTTTCCTTATTATTATTTTATTTCGGCTTCCGTCCATTAATAAAGAGCCTGTTACCGAAAATTACATTTTGAAAGGTGTAGTAGTGATTCTTTGTTAGTTATTAATGCTCAAAATTCTTAATTCCCATGTGAAATATGATGATTAGCAGCTTCACTAAACGTAAATTATGTAAGAAGTAGCGTTATTACATCTACGTATTTCGTACTTGTTTACAAGAAAATGTAAGGACTTAACAAGCTCTTGGCCGTGCAAAGACTACATAAAATTACCAAAACGTAAAGGAACTGAAAAATATTAAATGTAGTACCAATTCTCATGATTTCTGTTTCTCTTGTTTATGTGTGGTTTTCTTCGTAGAATGAACATTGTAATATTTTCTTGGGTAGTTATTTTTGAAGTGGTTTTAAGATTTTTTATCGCTCTTATTATATGACTTTGATTTAAAAAATGCCTGTAGGGGCCACTTTTACATAGTCATTCACAATCAAACGTGAGAAGTAATGTTAAGGCAAAAGCGTGGTGCTGTGCTATTGAATGGAACCAATCTGTTTGGTGAACTTGAACGTAAATACAAGACGTGAACATAAGTAAGAACAGTAAGAAAACGTGCACATTAGACGTAACCCTGAAAATTCGCAACGTGCAAACGTTCACGGTAAAACCTGATCTAATCATAACACATCATGTACCGCTGCCAGTTCCAAAGAACTACGCTTTTTGTTCGACAACGGCATGAAGTCAGTATTCTTGGGCAGAAACGAATACAGTTTGTAAGAGCAATTATCATAATTGCCCATGAAACAACTCCATTCTTGGCGCTCATGGTGTATGAAATAATTATCATCCAAGCATGATCGCATCCATTCGACTTAATGGCAATGTATGTTCATGTATGCATGAAGCCTCTAGTGACGTACGGTTCACTCAATTCACTCGGTTCACTCAAATTCTCTCCCTTTTGTCATCTGCTCAATAGCCACTTTGTTTGTTTGTTTGTTTGTTTTTTTGGACATTCTATAGTAGTAGGTTTTTTCAGGATAAGGACATTTTATTTTCGAAGAAGGAATTCTCAGTTTGTACGACTTTCCGTTCTGAGGATAGTATGTCCCTGTGTTCTTTGTTTTGTACTGCAATGTGCAAGAAATTATCATTTCGAGGCACATTTGCGTTATTTTTCTTCCCATCTGCTCTGTCACGTTTTCACTCCGAAAACTGTGGCATGCAGATGTGCTCACAGACTGGCTCTATGACTTTAAAAGGGAGTGTTAGTTTGTAATAAGTAAACAAACAAAATCTCAGAAATACGTGTCAGATGTAGATCTAATTGTAGATTCAAGTCGAACCAAAAGGAGACCAAGGTCATGTATGAAACGTGATGTAGAAGAAAGTAAATAACGACGAATCCATTTCTTTTTACCCGAAAGTTATATTGAAATCTGTTTAGTGTATTATTGACTATGCATTACGGGTTGTACTTACTTATTTTAGCCTCTGAAAAACTCCACCTTTTCCACAGAAATAATTGCCGGTCTTCCTTCCTGGACGTAGAACTTATGGTAACTAATTCATTGCCGCACTTATCCAAAAAATACGTCGTTTTTCAGTATTCCGATTTGATTCATACGGCACATTTAAATCCGGTGTTAATCTGCAGTTGTAATTAAGAGAATTCAACTTTAATATCACATGTTTCTAAAATGTTGTCATATTACATTCTACGAAAAATACTTTGTCCACCCGAGTGTGAAATTTATTTATTTTCACCTACAAATAGGTTTCATTACGGTGTTTCGAATCGGGTGGCTCTGAATATTCAATGTGATGGAGATCACAATCATGAGGTTAAGTGGGACTAATAGATAATTTTTCATAAGACAATTGCGTTAATAATGTTCTCATCATGTTCTTATACGTTTTCTTTTAATTCACGAACTATTCGTCATGCAATCGCATATTTCTAATGTACTCGTTCCAGCGGATGTAGAACACACTCTGATTATAACATGCACTGCACTCACGGGACTAATGATTGTAGTAGACCCACCCAGAAATACTGAATACTTACACTCAAATTACGCGTATGCTTAATTTTCTCCTTGCTAAATAATGTCGATTTTTTTCAACTTGTTTGGTTTATGAAATTTATATGATAGTAATAAGCGCTATAAAGATAATTAGTTTTCTTTATTGAATGCATGCACTGATATTTCGAGATTTCTGTTTTAGACAGACAAGATTCCAATTCCAATTCTGGCGCATGGATTTTACCAATATTAATTGGCTGCCAACCTGCTAATCCACTAATCCACTTCGCTACCATCATTACGTTTCACAGAATGTGGAGTTACTAGCAATACAGTGTGTGACCTATTATGTGCGCGTGTGTTCATGGAAATTTTGGAAAAGTTAGAATTGAGATCTTAACATTTCTGTAAAATAACATGTGCATCCTATCGGTTAAGTTTCTAGAAACAACTTAAACCTAAACCGAGTTCATCAACAATTCATTTGAGACGTTCTCAGGATGAGCCAATTTTTTAATAAACATTTCATTGGCGATGAATCGATGGTTGTTTATTTACGTTGTTAAGGATGTTAACTTTCTTAACATACATGTAGGTACAAGTGCACTTAACAAACCTGTACTTCTGGATCGAACTTTCTTGAAGTATCATTATGTTTGGGAATATTATTTGCATCCATCTTTTCTCAAATCACGGTATACAAATATTGTTTGAATAGTTATATCACAAGCAACACCCCACCATATCGTAGTAACGTGCCGCAGCTACAGAATGAATTTGTTTCCTATGGCAATAATCTAAATTTTCCTATAAATCGAAAGATTTTGTGGTGACCGATAAAATGCTGAGCATACTACGAAATATTAGTGTTATTACTGCCTAGTCCAAATTAAAAATCTCGGCTCCGCTAGGCACCGCCTCGATTTTTACCTTTTGACCTCTGCAGTAATAATACTCATAACATTTCTAGGTATGTTAATAGCAATTAGTTCATTTTAGTACTTGTAGTTGAATTCTTTTTACTTTATGTTCAATTTTTTGGCGTGTTCTTGCAATTAGAATATTAAAGATAACACGTTTTTCTGAATGAAATATGTTCTTCAACGACGTTCCTTAAATATAGTAGTTTTCGCATAATTTTATGTGAAAAATAAGCATTTTTAAACAATTATTTTCTCACAAACGGCTCCCGAATTTCTTTTTATTTTTTTTATTTTTTTTTTTTTATTTTTTTTATTTTTTTCGAATATCGCAAAGTACACTTTAAATATGTCGACATAAAAATGTTTCAGAGAAGTTTGAATTTTCGAAAATTGCAAAAAATTAACAATGCGAAACTACTATAATGATAGAGACTATTCCTAAATGAAATTTTTCTTGAAAATTATATCTTTAAATAATGTCATGTACAATTTTTTTGAACATACTAGTAGATTTCCCATAAGTTTTGCGTGAAGTAATTGTAATTTATAAAAGAAATCTCACAAACGACTCCCAAATTTTTTAATTTTTACCCTCTCGTATAGAACAAAGGGCGCTTGGCGCAGGACTCATTTTCGTTGAACTCTTTGAATGTTCGAAAATTGCAATCGTTGCAAATGATCCAGCTGTAGCATCACTAGTTTGGTAACATTTTAGTGCTCATAGTAAACGGAAAATAGCAAGGGTGTAAACTGTAATATAAGTAACAGTAATAAGATATAATAGATACAAAGTAATATAAAAGAGCAATAATTTTAAAAGGTGAATTCAAAATTAACAATGATTTATGAACTAAAATGAAAAAGGTTATATGGATAGTATATTGCAGACGCAATGTATGAAACAAATAATGCAAAAGATTGATTCACTGAAACCCCGAAGATATGAACAGGCAAGTAAATGTGGGAATTATGACAGAATTAAAAATTAATGAATACGGTTAAATTAATGACGGTAATACCATGAAAACACACAGAAATAAACTCCAACAACGCAACTGGAGGGTCACAGGCAAGACAGCCCTGGTAAACGGCTGGCGAACTGAAGAGTGAACAAGTAATGTAGTTGGAAGTGCTTTGGTTTCGGCAACCGGTGTCTGAAGTTTTCTGTTTTGCCAGATTGACAGCGCCGTGCTCCTTCCCGTTAGCGTTCGTTGTAAAAGTGGACGCATCTCCCGTCCCTACTCGCGTCCACGCCTTCGCGACGCCGTCCCCGTTCGCGGGCGGTTGTAGATCGGCCTTTAGTCAACATCGCGAAACGGTGTCAGGAAAGCTGGAGAGATAGTGGCGGCGTCGCGCCTGTGGTGCGGATCGCCAGCGGAGCAGGTATCGCATGCAACATGGCACTCCAGACGGAGGCATCGCGTTGCAATATTTCAATTGACAGAGCGAAATGCTAGTTCGGCTGCG